TTGATTTACCTAAAATTAAAAACATGATATTATAAACGTGTAGTATCTAATGGGAATGCACTCAGGACACTGTAAATAAACTAATTCAATTTGTTACTGACTTATTTAGAGTTTTTACATAGATTGGGGTGCAATTTTTGAATTGTTTTTGGGGGAGAGATTGTAGATATCACAAGGGCTTATATGTAATTTCTAAATATTTAGGGGTGCAGCTGCACCCCAACACATGAAGCTAAATCTGCCCCTGACTATCCTTGTTATCCTTTGCGTTTTGAATATTATCTAATGCTCTGTTTGGAAACTCCTCAAAATGGGACTAGGCTTGGTCCTAGTCCCATTTTGGGGAAAATAGTGTTTGGGGAATATTGAGCAAGGGCCCAATTTGGGCCCAAATTTCTTTAGGCCAAAACGTGGTTCTTCATTGGACCATCCCCTCGGTTTGAACTTGATCCAGTTTACAATAAAATTGTTCCAGGACTCGTCAAAGTGTCTTTACTTGTGATCTATCTTTGTTGTTCTATGGATGATTCATTTTGGTTAGTTTTTTATCTATATGTGCTAGAAGTTCCGTTTTGTGCTCCTCAATGATGTAGTGGAAGTTATAACAAAGTTAGGTTATGAAACACCATTTGCATGTACTTATAGTGTAAAATATTGAATGCATAATTCACATGTACCGAAATACAATTTCAAATTCTGCACTAGTGAATTAATAATTAATAGGTTTTATTTCATGGTGTTTTTCCCCTAAGGCTCCTTTTAAAGTTGTTATAGTTGCTTATTTGTTTCACTTTCTCACAGCTCTTTTTTCATTTTAATATTATTATTCTCTTTAGTATTATTATTGTTATTCCTTTTAATATTATTATTCTTTTAATATTATTATCAACATGCATATCAGAGCTAATGTCTCTTTAAATGAATGACAAATCTTACATGGACCATTCATGTTTATAGCAGAATGAAACTTTTTTCAAATTTGTCAGAATTCTGTTGAGCCTGAGTTAACACCAATATTGTATAAAGTATTGGATGTCGGAGTTTGATGTATATGCATTTAATCTTTTGCATTTTACATGTTATAAGATGATAAGTATATAAAATCAATGATAACTGCAAAATTAGTAAAAGATATTAAAGTTAGGATAATTACAGAAATATCATAAGAAACAACATGTTTATGAATAATCCATGATAAGCCAATATTCTATAGTAGCAATAGTTAAGACTTAAGACTACAAAAAAAACCGATTAGCGAAAAGACCATAACACATTCTTGCATCAGCATCAACTGTTAAAAAAATACATGTATACATAATAAAAATATATATTACATCACAAAACTGTCATGAAACTAACTGAAAGCTGATGACAATCGTGACAATACACATTACACAAATAGACAGAAATGATTCAAAATGTAATTAGTCAATGGCAAGTAGCAAGGTTGATACATTTTAAATTTTTTTGGCAAGTAATGGATCTTATTTACCAATAGCGATATGAAAAAAAAAAATTCTGAATACTATATTGGCCTATCAACTGCAGAGAGTCAGAAAAACAATGAAATGGAACTCATTCTCTCCAAACAAAATTACGTTCCTCCACATTTCAAGAAAGAAAAACACTTATGACTCTGAACACCTCCTTTTCCTCTTTTAGGAATGAACTCAGGGTCATATGCATGGCCAAGCGCCACATTTTGTTTTGTCTAAACTCTCTAAGACTTTTTATCTTACTATATTGAATGCTAATCTCATACTTGGTAAGATTAAAGCATTCATCACTCTGCATCCTTTTGTCCTGAAAAATTGTATTGTTTCTGGCAATCCAAATGTGGTATAAGCACCCAGCAGTAGCTCTGTTGATGTAATTGATAGAGGAACTTCCCCTCCAGTTTCTTTCCATCCAAGCTATAGCCTCCTTCCACAATCTTGGTCCATTTGCAATTTGAATAGAATTCAAGTTTCTAGTCCATAATGCATAACTAAAATCACAATCAAAGTATAGACTGTTTCTTGTTTCCTCGTATCTTTCACAAAGAGGATAGATATCCTCATTAAGAATCCCAATTTGTCTAAGTCTTACTCTAGTAGGCAGTCTATTCAAGCATGCTCACCATAGCACAGAAGAATGCTTAGGTAAAGAGTACCTATTCTACCAAAGCTGGACACATTCTCTCCTATCCCCTGTCACAGCTCTTGTGAGCATAAGAAGAAGAATATGCAGGTTTATCACCACTCAATATAATTCTAGATTCTGCTACGATCACTGCCTTGCCATATCTCTGATTTCAATATTTTTCTAAAAGGCCATGAATATGAGATTTCAATATGCGCACATGACTTGTTGCATCAAATTGAAATCAGTTGGTTTGGGACAAATACCCAACTCCCAACGCATGTCACCAGAATTTAATTTTCTATCCCTTACAATGTTAGTAGTAGAACCTGCTAACTCTCTTGGAGGAATACGCTCACACCTGTCATTTTAATTCATGCCAGAAAACACGATTTGTCAAAACTAATAAATGATTATCTATTCTTTAATTTATAAATTAATTGTTTAATCTATATGTTATCAACTACTAAGGACAAACCAATAAATGGCGAAAAACTATCTTCTTTACCCCTCTTTCTCTCTACTTAAACAGTTAAACCCATAATCTCTCACCCCCTCTCACCCCCTCTCACCCCCTCTCCTTTCTCTCTCTCTCTCTCTCACATACGGAACGGGCACTGCCATACAGTGGCAGGGAATAGTTTTTACAAGAGAGATTAGGGGTTGAATTAGAGAGAAAAAGGAGGAAGAAGATAGTTTTTGGGTTGAAAGACTAATCACCATTAACCTTTTTAGGTACAGTAGGTTCATTGATGGCAAAACGACAGTGAGAAACGGCTGACGGCTGCAGGAACTAGGAGAAGTGGAGAAGAGAAAGCTAAGGGTCTTCTCTTTTTAGGGAATGGTCTTCGATCTGTTATGATTCGCAGTAGTTCCTAAACCAAAAAACTTAAAGTTATTCACATGAAGTGAAACTTATGCACCCCAACCCCCAACTGCAACTAAGGAGATTCAGGGCTGCCCAAGCAATATTGCCTTTTAGAACATTGTCTATATCCTTAGAGTCGAGTGTAAACTCTATATAGTAAATCAGTCTTCCCATAGTCTAGAAATAGACTCTGGTAGAACCATTGTTATTGCCATGTATTATATGCAACTCTCTTTTTACCCCAAGATTAAGCTTATACAATCACAAGGTAAGTGGATTCTTGTACAGTTATTATGGTGCCTTTGTTGTCTACTGGATGTTAAACTGATTCGTTACTGATCACCCAGGGAGACACATGCATGATACATACATATTAATTCCCCAGGAACAAATGTAAATTTGTTTTACCTTTGACATTTGATGACAGGTCATCGAATTGGCTGATTTAGTCCACTTTGCTATTATGTTATAGAATGCATATAGACAAAAAAATATGCATTTTGAAAATCTGTCACCCGTCTAATGGTTTCCAATGTTTTATATAAAACAACCATTGATTTTGCAACACTCAATGATGAATGACTTAGAAATTTCCAAACCACATTTTATGTCTATATAAGTTTTATGCTGTGCTGATCAAAATGAATGGTTGTTCATCCATTAAGGGTAGTCGATCGCTTTTTTTTTGGTTGGTGACAACAAACTTGAACTTTGGTTATACCAAATGATGGTTGCTTTGAAGATACCGTTTTTTTTCCTTTTCTGTTTCATCGTTGAATTTAATTATTTATCCTTGTAAATCATGTCATGCTTTTATATTCTCTGTATTTTGCTTTGGGGTTTTAGAAGCTTTGTGGAAGTTATAACCAACAGTTTGACTCAACTCATGTTTTCCTGCAGTTCGATCTTTTGGGACAGAAGGACGAAAGAAGGATGGTCCGCAAATTCCTGCCAGCGAAAAAATCTACGAGTATATACTGTTTCGGGGAAGTGATATTAAGGTATGTAAAAAATAATGTACCTCTGCATGGAAGTGGTGGCTTGACAAATCATATACTGTCATATCATATGAAAACAACACAAAGACAACTCATCAAGCAAGCCCTTGTACTTTGCTTGATTGGTTTAGCCTTGATCATAGATCTCATTGACTGCCCCAGCAGTGTTATATGGTTTACATATTGTTGTTCATATGCACTCGTCACATTTTATCATATGTATGCACTCATGTCACATTTTATCATATGTAGGGAGAACCTCCCTTTCCATTTCTTTTTCATGTTTTGTTTAAGATGTAGTCACATAAATCGCTGGAAGATTACTATCTGTTTTTATTGAAGCTCTAAAGTTTCTGTTCTCAGTTTTATTTGGAAGTACTCACATAAACTGTTAGATGGATTCTTTTATTATTGTTCTTTGTTATTGTTCGAAAGGTTTATGAGTTGATCAATATTTATTTCATGAGTGCATCTTCTTTTTTATGTTTCAACATAAACTAGCGATTCTTTAATCTTAAAAGTTCTTGCTGATAACCTTAAGGTATGTGTTTTTCTCGGTTCTCCTGTATTAACTTTTCAATTTTGTGCTCCACTTTGTCTACAGGTGTCCTTGGTAGGCTTTAGCTTTGTCACTGATGCCATCAATACTTTTTTTTCCCCTTTTCTTGGTCGACACAACACAATTTTCAATTATGTCTTTGCTTCCCGTATGGATTCTTATGTTGAATTTTTATCTTCCGTTACTAGTTTAAAACCCCTTGGACCTTTGCACATTCATCTCATCTTTGTACCATGAACAATCATATTCAACCTTATAAGCTTTGATTAGAATTCATAAAATGATCAATAATTTCTCCTGATTAAGTACTGCAACCTTATAAGCCTAGATTAGAATTCATAAAATGATCAATAATTTCTCCTGATTAAGCACTGCTTTGTCACTTATGAGGATACTTTGTTCTTTCGTGTCATCCGGTTTTCCAATTCTTTTTCTTTCCTGTTTATTATTTCCAACTATAAAAGGCTATATTCTTTGCGCCTCAAAAGAAACTGGATTCAAATTATCCTCCTGCAAATATGGTGTAGATTAGGCAGCGACATTACTTCTAGTAGTGGGAAGTCCTTATCAAGAAATCTTAGACCAGACCCACTGATATAGAAGTTCCAGCCAAATTACCTAGACTGTAAAGAAATAGAGGGTTGCATCGTTTATCATTTCTAGCAATGCATCTGATTATTATCTTTCTTTGGATGTTAATTCTGTCACACTGAGACTTGTATCGTGATACCATGTCTGGTATGGCTCTTCATGGATTCATGGGAGGACACTTCTCTTGTGTGTCCTTCACTTGATTACATTTTGGGTACTTAAATGAGTTCTTAATGCATAGTTTTCCTCTTCTTCTTTTTTCCCTTTACTTCTTTTCTTTTACGTATGCGAGTGTTATGAGTTGTTTTGCAACGTACATCTTTAGGTGCAAGTTCCTTCAAATTATTCACCTCTGGAGAGTTGACAGTGCATCAAAGAGTTGTAATATTATAGAGGTGTTAGTTATCCTTAAAAAATGGATATTTGTATGTTCACTTTTCTACAATGAATTTACTCTAGTTGTGCCACCTGGTTTGCACGTGAAGGACAAGAATGGTGATCAAATATTGCTTTTATATAATTTTCTTATGATTTCTCAAAGATTTTTTTGCTTCTTTTTTTATCATCATCCTCATCATCTAAGTCAGTTGCATTAAATTTGGGGCTCAACTATGAAGCAATAGGCTCCATGAAAAGTTGGAGAATTATTATGAGAAGTTTGCCCTGGGCTTTCCATAGGCATCCTCCAAATTCACCGAGACGTTGGAGGGGAGAGAAAGAGTCTAGAATAAGATAATAACGTGATATGTTTGTTGTGGGGAAGTACATTCAACGCTCAGGTGCAATGATGACAATAATTAAACAGAGAATATTCCTAAAAGAAGCATTGCTTTAATTGTGAACTTACGATATTCTACCTACCAAGAGTTAGTGGGTATTGTGAACATCAAAACCACTGTTATAAATAGCGGTAAATAGCCTCGCAATAGCGGCGCTAATAGCCTTAGCGGTCCCTTCCCGCGATGCTATCGCCCGCTACGCTATCGCGCAATAGCGGTGACATATTGCGAAATATGTTTGTTCGCAAAAGCGACTAATAGTGTGTCAATAGTGAGCGATTGCATTCGAAATTTGCTTTTTGACTGCTATTTAAAAACGGTTTGAGGCTTATTTTTTTAAAATTAAACTCAACCCTTGACCATTGCATTCCACCGTCTCTTGTGATTTTCAGCATACTCGCGCCACCTCTCATAGCCTCTGGCACCTACCTTGATACTTCCTCTTACCTCCTTCACCGTGAGCTCCTCTTAGGGCAGTCCTGTCACCGCTAAGCTCTTCTTCTCGAAGACGATGACTTTTTGACGCCTCCAGTCATCTTCGGTATCACGTGATGGTTACATGTCTATTTCATGTTTATGATCTCTTTAAATCATCCAATATATACTTTTAGATTCCTTAGATTTTTCTTTAATTTTTTTTAGTATTTATACATATCTAAATTAGATCGCTATTTGACTTTGCGCTTTTACCGCTATTTTGCCGTAATAGCCCGAAATAGCCTTAGCGATGCTTCACTGCTATGCGACGCTATCCGCTATCGATAATCTTGATCAAAACTATGATCATGCACAAAATGCATAGAACAATTTCTTTTTTAGATTACTTCTAATGGTTTTCTTTTTAGATGATTTCGGTTTTAGATCACTTCTAATGGTTTTCTTTCATTCTTTTACTTTAATTGACAGATTATCCTCTTTTCTTTTCTTTTCTTTTCTTTTTAATTTTCTTTTGATTCTACTCAAACACTATCATCTTTTGACTTCAAATAACTTATTTTAATGTATTGCTTATTTAATGCTTGTAGGATCTACAGGTCAAGTCATCACCACCTGTTCAACCTCCTTCCATTCACAATGACCCTGCTATTATTCAGGTAAAAGAAACAGCCTTATGAAAGTCCCATTCAACTCAAGTTATCACTTGTTAACTTGCTCAAGTTCATGCAGTCACACTATTCTCATCCTGCATCTTCTTCGGCCCCCTTGCCTTCTGTGGGAAATGGAGCTGTTATTGATCCTAATTCACATACAGCTCAGCTGGGACTTGCAAGGTCACCTTTTCAAGGAGGTTCACCCTTATATCAACCTGGAGGAAACTTGGGCAGTGGTTCTGGGCTACCAATGGCAATGTATTATCAAGGATTTTATGCCCCGCCAGTTGGCCTTCCTCATCTTCAGCCATCCTCTTTGCTTAGGCCCCCACCAGGGTTGCCGATTCATCAATCTATCCACCAGCCTTTGCAGTATCCTGGAGTGAATGCGTCCTTGCAGCCTGGATCCTCAAATTTGCCTGAGTTTCCTCCGCCTTTATTTCCACTTGTGAGTAGTACTCAGAGTTTAACCTCTACTTCTTTGCCCTCAACAGTTGCACCTACACAGGCCAATTTATTAGCTCCTGAAACAGCATCTACTCCGATGCCAAATTTACCTCCTGTGACCTCTCTTCCTGCAACGACTCTTGGTGCCAATCTGCCATTGGTGCCTCCACTAGCTTCTAGTCATGATTCCCTAATAACAAACTCTCAAAATATGCCTTCTACTATTAAGAGCAAGCCAATGACAGTTCCTGCTCCAGCCTTGGGTTATCAGACAGTATCTCCGCCTATACCCTCAGTTGTCAGTTCCTCCACTTCAAACACATTTGAACCGGCGGTTTCTTTAGTAACTCCTGATCAACTGCTGCAGCCTGGCCCCACAACTATGCCTTCATCTCAGCCGCTGCAGACAAGCAATAAAGGTGTAGTGGTTAAACCACAGGAAGCAGAGAAAAAATCTTCTGTACTAGAATCATCCTTGAATGTACCGGGAAAGGCTAGAGAGGCAATGCCATCTGTAGCAAAACCATCCGGTCGTGTGCCAGCAGAAGTCAAGGAGCCAATATTGCCTTTACCCAAACCTACACATCACAAGGTATGTTGATGTAGTTCTTTTGTACTGTTGCACTTTAATGTTTTGTAGGATTCTGGCCATTTTTATACTGTTATCAAAAGTATTCATCTCTCTGTTGTATGGCACTATTGAGTGTTAACGAGGCAACTTGGTTTCCCCAGCTACTGCTTGGGGGTTGGTGAACACGGGAAATGTCCTCATATTACTCTTGTGTTATGTTATTCTCTCACATTCTTATCTTTCATGTGGTCACTTTGAACTGGGGGTTTCTTTCCAACTCTTGATAGTTTCATTCAGTGTCTTGTCATATGCAAATATTTATTAAATCTCATTATTATTATTATTATTATTTGGCAAGAATCTACCTTTGCATAATGGATAATATAGGGAAAAAAATCTGTGACAGCAAGACACAGGGACAAAGGATAAGAAAATGGCGGGTCTCCTTCTGTACCTCATGTTGACACATGATAACATTGTTTAATTAGAAAGAAAAAAAAAGAAGAGGACTTTTCTTTTGGTAATATTGGCAACAAACCTTGTGCTCATCTTGGCACACAATGTATGCAGGCAGCATTCTCTATGTTGTGCCATATCTTAAGTCATGCTATCTTGATCAATATGAAGCAGAATTTTCATTAGATCTGCTACAACATAGTGAACTAATTTCACCTTTCCGAACATCTCTTGTAGCTATGAAACCTAGGAGGAAGATATTTAATATGACAAGTGAAAAAAGAATAGCCATTATGATACTTGTATATTGGTTCATGGATCATCTATTTGTTTCATTATCTTAAATTGTTAAGCATGCCATGGAGCAGACTGACTTGCTATCTTCATTTAAAGTCAGTGGTGTTAATTCTTAAACATTAAGCTATACCTATTTTCTCATTCATTAATATCAAATTCTATGTTAATGACTTTAATCAATTCTTTAACTTTTTTATATCTGAAAGTTCACAAAAAATTTCTTCAACAAAGTTATATTTATTGAAATTTTCAAGTAATTTACATTTTTATACAATATATGATAAACACCACTCTTTATTGAGTGCCATTTTGATAGGAAATGGCTTATAGATCATTATGGTGCTTTATTAGAGAATTTCTAACTCCATGATTATATCCTACATATGTCTGTTCCAAAGTTAATGGTGTGGGTTGAAATTTTTGTGCATGTTCATGGTTTTGATGTTTGTCCGTTATTTGCAGCCAAATGGAGCTCTCATGCACATACATCACTTCAATAGGGGGCGTGGAAGAGGAAGAGGAAATGGGGTAATGGTCCTCCTAACCTTATTTTGCTGTAATACGATCTTAGAAATAAAAACTGACGCATGACAAGCTGTGGAAAAGTTGATAAAAACTTGCATGTATTTTTCATAGCTGAAGGAAAGCACTAAATCAATACATTACTTGGCTGATAAATCCTTTTGTCTATTCTGTTCAACGTTTGGGTAAAACCTTCATATATTTCCTGCTTATATACATTCTTATCCTTTTTCTTTTGCTCGTCCTAGTAATTAACACTTTCAGCTATGATGCAAATCATCTATAGAGTATATACTAACATGAGACATGCAGAATGGTTATGTATCAATACTTCCAATATTCTGATATTCATCTTTCATGTATTCGCATATTATCGCCACAAGTACAAACCCCTTCATTGTTACCAGAAGGAAATTGAATTCTGCTTCTATGCAGCCATTAAGTGTGCAATGGGTCTTTGATTTCTGTACATTTTGCAGTATCCGCGTCCTCTAACCAAATTTACTGAAGAATTTGACTTCATGGCAATGAATGAGAAATTCAACAAGGATGAAGGTCCTCTAACCAAATTTACTGAAGAATTTGACTTCATGGCAATGAATGAGAAATTCAACAAGGATGAAGTGTGGGGCCATCTCGGTAAAAGCAAATACGTGACACATGACAGTGAAGGAGGTGAAAATGACGACGACTTTGATGATAATCTGGAGGAAGAAGATGCTGAAACTGATAAACCTGAGATCAAGGTAAGTAGTTCTCACTTCTCCATATTGTAACATTGTCATATTGGTCTTTATTACTATTTTCTAGTCTTTGGGCAATTGTGGAGGTTATCCTTTTATCCCTTGTTGAATTAGGCTTAGGGAGGTATTTGCACCTGTTAATTCTTCTATGCTGTATGGCAACACCTTGATGCAAACTTTTGGTGAGAGTGAGACTTATTTGAATGGTTTTCGAAGGCTGGTCCTTTACTTCCCCGTTTGGACTTGTGCTTCATAGACAAGCCCATATTTTGATGGGAAGGAGGCATAGAGGATGATCGTAGTTATCAGAATATCAAAATACAATTACGCGTGCACATTTACAGACATATACAAAAAAGCTCAACTATAAGTAGCAGACTACCTTTATATATTGTATGTATATCTAAATGAACTAGCAAAACATTGTAGTGAGATTCACCTAGTCTGATGTGAGATTTCACCAGTATATCTGTATCTTTGTTGCTCATTTAGCAAATAAACTGTCACCTGATATCCATATTTTCCTGTGTGCGCACACACGAATGTCAGTTTCTCCTACTGTTCAAATACTCATCAGTTTCTTTATTTCCTCTATGAAGCCTGTCTATGTGAAGGATGACTTCTTCGACACCCTGTCCAGCAACACCCTTGACCGGGATTCGCAAGGCAGGAGAATGAAATTCTCAGAACAAATGAAAATAGACACGGAGGTACGTACAAAAATCTTCATTCATTCATCTTAACTCATCATAGATTCTCACTAATAAACCCATACCATCTCCTTCCTCCAGACATTTGGTGATTTCCCAAGGCACCGTCCCCATCGAGGTGGGGGAGGTCGAGGCTTTCGTGGTGGTGGCCGTGCTCGAGGCTCTTACTATGGCAGAGGGTACGGTTATGGTAACAGAGGCCGAGGCCATTCTGTACCAAATCGAGCTTCCTAAGGGAGAGAGGCTTTGCTTGTAATGTAACATATAGGGTAATAAACCAGGGCAATGTTTTAGAATTTGTGGAGAGGATTCAACATCAATGTTTAGGTTCGACAAAGGTTTCAAATACTTAGTTCCGAGTCTTGTGAGATGTTGGGTAAGCTTAAAAGCCATGCAAATATGAATGAAGTGTTGGTACATCAATATCTCAGTAGCTTGTCTGGTTCGTTGCTTAGTTTAAGTGCAGATGCAGGTGAAAGTGATTTTCGAGTAACTGGAGTTTAGCAAGGTGGATGCCGGTATTGGATGTAAGTGACGGTGTTATAGCTGAAGTTCCGCAAGATTAGCTACTGTGGGTGGTGTTACCAAACCACAAGTTTGATTTTTTTTTTTCTTTCTAAATGCTTTTATTTTTGAATTTGTATCATTCTTTTGGATGATACGGGTCATAAACTCTTTTCTGTTTGGATCCATCGCATGGGTGAGATGCATGAAAACATTGGTGCTGCATCGGGAGGGATACGCCAAACACTAGCATTCTCCTAGCCAGTTATTGATCAATGAAAACTCACGCGTGTTCAGATGGATCGTATAACATGCATCGTATCATGTGAACATGATTTGTTGAGTAGGTGCGTTCTTCTGATTGATTGCTGAGATGTATCTATCTCTTTTCTATGAGGCTGCGTTATAGGTTATCTCATCCGCTAAGTTAATTATTATTTTATTTTTTTTAACTGGTTTTTTTCTTTAAAATTCATATTTATAGAGTTTCGAGTACGTTTTATGACATCAAAAGGGCCTGTTTGGTTGATTTTCTAAAATCAGAGAACAAGAAATAGAATAAATAAACCATTAAAAGTTAATTTTCATCCATTTCCTTTTAAAAAAAATCATGAAATTGGTTTTTTTTAAAATGAGTCACATTATCCAATAATATGATGATAATTCATCCTATTTTTTTTTTCTTTTTTTAGTTTTAAGAAGTGAATTAAACACAAGAAAATAATCTATTATAGAAAATAGGCTTCTTATAATTGATTTCTTTAAGCATCCTTGTTTTTCAGCCAACCAAACAGTCCCTTCGTGACATCAAACAATCATAAATTTAAATTTCAGGCCTGTTGTATAATGAAAGAGGCCTCCCTTACGTTTCAGTGGGTCCCACGTGACGTGGCCGGCGGAGTATGACTCATTTGGTTGTGGGCCCATCCTCGGCGGCAGAAAACGACGGCTACTGGCATTTTTCATGTCGTCGGACCCTTTCGTCGTTACTAAGCCGATGACATCCATACAACCTGTTTGTACAAAAATACAAAAATACTTCTATTATAGGTGTGTATAATCTGTTTGCTGGATTCACGCACGACGAACCATCCAACGGTCCTGATCTGTTGTTATAGCATTCTAGAAGGGACACGTCGGTCATATTGTGCGACGAGTGAGTCTAGAAAGAGATCGCTTCGTTGCAGGTACGCAGTTAATGAGCTCACGCACAATATTAAATACAAAGACGTAGAGATTAAATAGTCTCATCCTTTTTGAAAAAACAAAGACGGTGACACAGAACGTGACTCACCCTCGGTCACCGTGACAAATAATAATGCATGCGGTCCTTCCATTAAAAAATTATGCCCTTCTCTAAAAACTTCATTCGTGAGTTGGTCTCAATAAGATTTACAGAGTAAGTTAGAAATTGCTAAGTAGTTATTAAGATATGAAATGAAGTATTAATGGTTTGAATCGCGTCAATTTGGCCCACCTGCTGCAAATCACTCGTTGTGATTAATTTATTTCCATAAATATATTTCACTCCTGATTGATTCTTTTTGTTTTTTCTCCCCAAAATGTAAATGTATAGTGGATAAATTTTCAAGTCTAGTTAGTTTCCGTAATCCTTCAAACCAAGGAGGCACAGGTCACAATATATGGACGAAAGGTCGCGCTTCTTTCCCCTATTAATTAACAAAAATGTCTCACGTACCCCAAATAGGGGACCCAATAGGAGGACAGATGAGGTGTCCTTCCTAAATGCATATGCATGATGCATTTGTTCCTGTTCATGAACAGTGCATCATTCATTCACGGGGACACCTCACGTATCCCTCTTGCGTCCCCTATTTAATGTTCCTGTAGCGGCACCCATTAATTTAATTAAATTAAAGCACCTTTTTGCGCACAATATTTGCCCCCACCTCGTCACAAAAATAGATAAATAAATAAAACCGTACATATCCTTTCTTTAGTTTGGTCCCTCCTCAACGCATCTACACCCACACCACAGTCCACCACTCGCCGAACGAACAAGGTCCCCATCAACTTCGGGGTCGGGAGAGCAGTATGAAAACGACGCGACCGATGGCTCCCCCTCGAGCAAGCATGAGCTTGATTCCGCATGGCATGCACGGAGAGCCAGAAGGTGGTGGTGTGGTGGAGGAGCCGAGGCGGCGCCGCGCCGCCGCTGAGGTGGGCGATGGCGCAACTTCATCTCGCGGCGGGGACTCCATCACGCCTCCTCACGTCTACCCGGGCACGCGATCCAGAGCAGGCAGAAGAGCCTCCGGCTCAGCGGGTTCCAGCTGGCCCTGTCTTTTAAGGACATGTGCAATGGGATCGCGGAGGTTCGCGCGCAGCTCGAATTGTAGATGATTCTCTTTTAATTGCCTTCTTCTTCTTTTTATTTTTCCTGATTTAAAAAAAAGGGGGTGTTTTTTTGATGGAAGAAATTTTCTAAACAAACCCGTTCATAATTTTTCTTTTTTTAAAATAGACATCTTTTGAGTGTTCTTTTTTTTTTACAAAAATCGACTTATTTTGTCTTAATTTAGTTTCTAAATAGTCGGGATTGTCAAAATGTTAGGGTTTAGGATTATAATTGGGGGTTTACAACCTCCTAAATAGTCGGGGTTGGTAATCAGAGTAAGATAAAATGAGTATTTTTATAAATAAAACTTAAGGAGTCTATTTTTATAAATAAAACTTAAGGAGTCTATTTTTAGGAAAAAAATATGAGTGAGTTTATTTAGAAAATTTCTTCTTTTCTGGTGTGGCGTAGGCAAAAGTTGAGATTCTGGTGAAGGAAGGGGAGGTGGCGGCGACGGTGGTGGGCTTGGTGAGCAAGATCGGGGCCTCGACCCTCGTGGTTGGACTCCACGCTCAGAGTTTCCTTTACAAGTGAGCCTCTCTTTCGTTTAGTAGATATGAAACAGACGAGTTTTTTTTTTGGAAAGTTATCAAATATATGCTTTTTCTTTTTTTGGAAAAAGAGACGCTGTGGTTTGACATATTTCCGTTAACAACTTCGCATAAAGTCCCTTGGAAAAACAAATCAATTTAATTACCTTTCCCTCGATGTATAACCTTTCTTTGCCCTTTACGAGCCAGCCGTATTCGATTTATTATTTAAAGAAATAGTAGGAATGGCCTTCACAATCTATGCCATCGAAACCTCGCAACAGAGCCCCAAGGGACAAACGAACTTTAGTTAGGGCCCGTTTGGTTGGTTTCCTAAAAATCAAGAAAAGGAAATCGGTACAAGGAAATTAATAAAATAATATTTTTACCCATTTCCATCCCTAAAACTCACCCACAACATCTAATAAAATATTATTTTTATCTTCCAACTCATCTCATTTCATCTCCTTTCTTACATTTAAAAATAAACCAAACACAAGAAATGTGTCACATCATCCATCTCATCACAACTCATCTTATCCCATTTTTAAAAATCACACACATCATCCAATAATATTGTGACAACTCATCTCATCTCATTAAACATTCATTTCCATCCATTTCCTCAAAAAAAAACAAGAAATTGGTTTCCTTAAGTACGTGTCACATCATCCAATAATATACCTCCAACTCATCTATTTTCCTATTTTTAAAAACGAACCAAACACAAACAACCTCAAAACATCATCCAATAATATACCTCCAATTCATTTCCTTATTTTTTTAACCAACCAAACAACCTCAAAACAATTTTTTTTTTAAAATCACTCACATCATCCAATAATAAGTTGACAACTCATCTCATCTTATCTCCTATTCTACAATTTCTTTCTTTTTTAAACCAACCAAACAACCTCAAAACAAATATTATAGGAAATAGGTTTCCTATTCTTTGATTTCCCAAAAAAATGGCCAAACGAACAGCCCCTTATTGATGATGTCACGAGCCCATTCACTACATGAAGAACTTTTTTTTTTTTTTTAGCCCAACAGTTGTAACTTTTATAGCATTTTATGCGAAGTTTTCGATGGATTTTGAGCTATTTCAGGGTCAATTACGACGACTCTATAAGACATATATACATTGAGAATAACTCGCTAGTCGCTGGAACTCTAAATGTAAAGTTGGGACGAATTTTTAAAACCAACCTATTTCCAGATTTAATCACAAAAAAAGACCTGTTTTGAACTTATTTTCAAAAACCGACCTGGTTTCAGCTCTGACGTTGAAACCAAGTCGATTTTTTGAAAAAAAATTCTGAAACTTCACGGAAGTTGAACTCCTGTGAAGTTTAGTAAAATTGCTAAACTTCACGGGAGTTCAACTCCCATGAAGTTTCATAGTTCAATTTTTTTTTTTGAACTACGAAACTTCACGGGAGTTCGAGTTCAACTCCCGTGAAGTTTCGGAAGTTTTTTCACAAAAACCGACCTGGTTTCAGCGCCAAGGCTAAAACCAAGTCGGTTTTTGCAAATAAGTTCAAAATAGTTCGTTTTTTGGGATTAAATGTTCAAATAGGGTGGTTTTGAAAATTTGTCCAGTAAAGTTGATTGGTAACGTCACGAGTTAATAGCACACAAGCTAGTTTTTCTAGTATTCGCATGTGCCATTATACATTAAGCCAACAATTATAATTATATTTCTATGCGATCAATAACAAATATTTAGAATTTCAAATATGAAGTGGCTTCTTTTTCAAACATAAAGTTGGTTCGTGATATCATATGAAGTAGTTATGTAAAAATTACAACTTTCACCTTTCTCGTCAACTAAAATTAAGTGCAAAGGTAGGAACATTAAGACTCTAAATTTGGTACCTTTTACCTTTAACGAAAGAAAGTTAATTAAGATTACACAAAATGCTCATACTGTGATCCATGTGGACCGAAATTCATCAATAAGCTACTTAAGTTTTTTCAGGAGATCAAGTTCTATACTTAGCACGCACAGCTTCAACTGCCGTATTCTCGCTGTTAAGCAACACTCCGCAACTCATGATCGCTTCATTAACGCAGAGCTCTCTCAAGTTCAAATCACAACATTTTGGTAATTAAGTTCTCTTTTAAATATTTTCACCCATTCGTTCACTGTAAATATTGTTACTAACGGTCTTTAATTTTTTTTATTAATGCAGCATGTCGGAGCCTAGTAAAATCCCATATCCGATATTCCCTTGTCCAATTTTGTGGAAGAGATCAAGAAGGAGAAGAATGCATATATAATACGTGAACGATAATTTTGGGCGTTAATTTGGAGGAACGAAAGGATAAAACTTAAGATGGGATAGTTTACTCATGATGTTTGTAGATTTTTGAGTTTCTAGTTGTATGTCAATAGAAGTATTTCCTGCAAATTAAGATTTGTAGATGCAGCAAATGAAAGGAAATAAAGATTGCATAACCAGTTATAACTTGTAATTAATGATAACTCGTAACATATTATAACTTGTACTTAATATGTTACATGTACATATTTGGGAGATTTGGGGAACTCAACCTTTATTGAAAAATATAAACAGATATTTGGTGATAAACTTTTATATTGAGAAGGTAAAAGGAATTAATGCACAAACCATGCTCAATATTTGCTCGCATTTCCTTTGTTCTAGCATGAAAGGGAATCTGTGTCATTTTATATATCAAGTAACGGAAGAATGAGGTAATCATTTATTATACGCTTAATTAATTGCACGTAATTAAACTCGGGTAATATTGCATTATGACACTTATTACTCTTTAAATTTGGAGCGGTGATGACTATGTTACTACTCCTACACTACTTACACTATGAGAGAGAGAAGAAACGTGGATTCATTTTTCTATTTTTTTAATTAATAATTCGTTAAGGGAGCTCACACTTTTATCTCTTATTATAGTAAAGGAGAGAATAGTGTAGTTATAACTATTTAATTTGATATTGGTTGCATTTAAGACCCCTGAGAATTTTTTTTTGATTATTCTACCCTCAAAGATCTAATTAACAAAAACGCAAAAGCAGACATCCCCTAAACCTGAAAGAACCAAAAAAGTAGTATATATCTGCTAATATCAAACCGAAAGGGGTCCTTGTGCAGTTAACCATTAATAATATAAATAAACAAAATTTCTCTTGTAGCTTGTTTGACCTTTTGTTTTGTTATTGCGAAACATTTCCATTAAAGAACAAAGTAACAGATTTTCATATCTGTAGAAATATACATCGTACCATACACTAACGTTTGTTAATGGTAATAATTTAGGTCTATTTGGTTTGACAGAAGTACCGGAAGTAGGAAATAGATTAAAGAAATAAGTTTTAAATTTATGAAGTGGGAAGCAATGGAACTAGTACATTTTTGTTTGTTTCGCATATTTTTTAAAGTAATAGAAATATGACTTCTTATTCTTAATTCTTTTTTTATAGCAATAAAAAACTGTTAGGAAGTAACTAATAAATTAAATATTAATAAGAAAAATTATTTATTTCCTAATTAATATGCATTTTACTTGCTTCCAAGCTACTTCCGAGTCTTGAGGCGCGGAAAAATATTTTGAAAGTAAGGATGATACGTAGGCACCACATCAGTATTTAAGGAAGTATTGGAAGTAGGTTTTTTAGAGAATTAAATATATATATTTTTTACTTAGAAAGTAGTAGAAGTAGCATTTACTTCCTTTACTTCAGATATTTCATAATTACTTATGAAATTATGAAGTAGGAAGTAGCAGGAGTACTATTTTTTCGTTTGCTTCCTAATTTTTGGTAGCAATTATGAATATTGTTAGGAAAAGAGAGGGATGATCTTTCGGGATTTTATTTAGAGTATGAGAATATCCATATATTCTCATATAATAACAAAAATGATTTTATTCCTAAATTGACTCAATTTCATCTACACTTCCGAACCTTGAGGGGAGGAAAAAGATTCAAGAAGTAAAGATGATACGTAGGCGCCACGTCAACTTTCAAAAAAGTACCGAAAGTAGCTTTTTTTTAGAGAAACAAACATGCTTGTCTTCTCAGAAAAAGCAAGAATGGTGACTATTTCATCTACTTCACCTATTTCGTAGCTACCTCCATGCAAATAAAATTGCCCAAAAAGCTTATGGTACATTCATCTAATAAACAAAAATAATCTATTATGAAAGTTTTGTGAAATTTACTAATTTTCTATTTCCTTCAGCCCATCAAACTAGCAGAGACATCGTTTGGGCGAAAATCCCAGCTGTGCGTGGGCCTTGGCCCAAGCAATATTTACATTCTCGGCTCAGCTTAAGCGATCTCTCTCCAGTAATTTCGATCATCTCTACTCACTCACTCAAGCCATAGCCGTTCATTCTCAAGCTCTCTCTTTCTCTCTCTCTCTCTAAAATTTTTTTCTCTCTCTCTAAAACTTCTCGACCGGCTTCCCATCGGCTCAGATCCGGCTTCTCATCGGCTCCGCTTCGGCTTGGGCCTACCAAATTTCATCGAGCGATTCGGAGATTTCTCCTCGGCGATCCGCGGATGCGCGCCCTCGGCCGCGGATGCAGGCGCGGGGCCGCCGGCCGGCGCTCGCAATTAGCCTCGATCAGGGTGGGCCCGGGCCTCGCCGCCCCAATTCAAAAGCCCCCCCTTAATTTCTTGGACAACTTGATAAATTTCTTAATATTTTTAGCTTTTTCACTTTTAATTCCACTGGAAACAAGCTTAGATGGAAGAAGAGGGCTAAAATTGCACGATCAATAATAAAGTAGACTTTAGTGAGTACTTAGTTGATTATGGTGATTTTAATGAATAGGGTAAATTGCATACAACTCCCCTCATCTAATTTTAACAATTTGAAATCGTTAAGAGTCTCAAGATCACTTCCTGGAATTTTTTTTTTCGATGAAGTAAATTTACAACTAAGTAATATTATAATGAACAAATTTTCAAAACAGCCCCAATCAGAGTTTTATTTTTCAAAATCGACCGGTTTTTTTTTTTTTATCAAAACCGACCCGATTTTGTGATTAACCGCCTAATCACCTTCCTAAATAGTCGGGGTTGGCAACCCCGACTATTTAGGAACTTAATTTTTAGTGTTTAAGGCCTCTAATTAGGGTTTAACACTCTCCTAAATAGTCGGGGTTGGCAACCCCGACTATTTAAGATGGTGTTTAGACTGCTAATTACAAAATCGGGTCGGTTTTGGTAAATAAAAAAAAAATCAGTCGATTTTGAAAAATAAAAATCTAAAACGGTCTGTTTTGAAAAATTGTTCTATTATAATTCATGCAGCTGACCCCAAAAAATTTGCGATAAAGCCTCTGTTGTTAGTGTTGTTGTTAACTTTACATCTTACTGTAAATTACTTTTTGTATTCTTTTATTATTCAGACCTCCGTGGAGTTTAGATCATGGAATCTTCATGAAGGTGACATAATCTCTACGTCGAACGTGGACTACAGTACTGAGACAGTCTGATGCTTTTGTTGAAAAAATATATATCGAGTTTTTTTTTGTTTCACAATGCATATATTTTGTTGAAAAAATATATATTCTTGAACTTATTTGATTATGGTAAAAGGAACTTATTTCCCTTTAGGTGACGTTGAAAAATATATATATATTTTGTTGAAAAATATATATATATTTTGTTGAAAAATATATATATATTTTGTTGAAAAATATAGAAAAAATATATATATTTTGTTGAAAAAATATATATTCTTGAACTTATTTCCCTTTAGGTGATGTTGGTTGGCGAGAAAGGAACTTAATGGAGTGGAATAACACATTTAAAGGCATGAAAGGTACGTGGCACATTCTCTCATTTATTGACTAGATTTGCAGAACTTATTTATATCATGAGTGTTGCTACGGGGACCCAAAATATGGGACCAAGGGAGGGGACATGTGAGGCGTCCCCTCCCTATTGCATAATGAGTTGGCAGCCAACTCATTATGCAATAGGGAGGGGACACCTCACCTGTCCCCTCCATTGATCCTATATTTTGGGTCCTTAAATCATTTTCCTTATATCATATTGCGGATCACGCTATACATTTCATTAGGATTGCAGGTTGAAGATCCTTGCATGAGTTATTGATTTTTGTTTTTGATGTACAGGCTTGTCTGTGGATATCTTTGTGTTACATGATGTGAAATATTCCCAAACTATTCGTATTATTGAAGAAAATCTTTGCTTATAACTGTAGTTAACCATTAAAGCATGCAGGATCTTAGACACATGTTCTATAGACTAGTTGCTATTATGATATTGAAACATAGTATATACGTTGGAATTATCAATTAGGTCCCATTTATGGTTGAGAAATGCCATTTGGTTGTGCACAATCATGATGTACTTGAATAAACTTGCAGCATCTCTTCAAATTTCTGTTATATTATCTTTTAAACGTGTGAAATATACTAAGCTGATCGTTCCCTATGCTTCTCGGATATTTCACATGGAACCCAACAGGAGCATGAGATAGTTACTATCTAGTTCAATAGAACTATGAATGTCAAGAACCTTATCATTTCCTAGTGATGTATCAAATTTGAACGTATACTGAAATTTTGGCATACATGTTGCCGAAAGATGCAAGACACTTATTCTACTTACCCCAAGATTGCAAGTAGAGGACACTTGAGATTCTTTTTAAAAATTTATGTACTTATGAAGTGAGAGGAGCTCTGAGACATGGGACATATTTTCTTTTAAACTTGCATGATAAAACCCAAGTATACAACTTTTTTGCTAAAGGGTCCAGCATATGTGTTCCACTTTCTAAATGCATTGTGTTCTTAAGAAAGAACTTTGATTTATTTTTATTCTTGATACTCTTACAAGCCTATATATCAATCCCACGAAAGTTATCCTCTCTCGAGATGAAGAATTATGGCCTATCCAGGGGATAAAAAGGATACAAATGTTACCAATATATAAAATATTTACAACAAAAGATTTTCTTTTTATCATATATACACTCACTCATAAGGATCTTTTTTATAACATGGAATCATTTGGAATTTCCATATATTACTATTTGTTTATTGTAATAGTGCAACCGAAAGCGGCTCACACCTTTTCTGCTATTGTATCACGTTAAGCAGAGATGGAAACTAAAGGGATGATGGACATTACAATTCTGCCTAATGTAGAACCATTAGATGTTGGATTGAGTTCTTCAGAGAAAGGAAGCATGGGTCCATCTGTGAAGCAACGAAAAAAGTCAATGACATCAGTATATCTCAAATTCTTTGAAACAGCTCCTGATGGGAAAAGCAGAAGATGCATATTTTGCAAACAGAGCTATTCTATAGCTACTGCCACTGGTAATTTTTATATTTCAGAATTAGTCATTTGGTTCTGAACTAGACTGCGCAATGGTTGATCAGAGGAAAAAATGAACTTATATTCTTGTTTGGAAGTGTTCTTTCAGTGGAGAAAATAGCTATTTTGTATTTAATCTAAACGCAAAATAAAAATGGGCCTGATGTTAATAGAGAACTCTTCTTCTTCCATTATGAACTTTCTTAAGATGCATCACATATGTAAGAGGCGTCAACTACCAATATCATTTCATATATTTTGTTTGAAAATCCATTTATTTTGACATTGAAAGAGTTGTAGTATATTATTCTTGGTGTCACTTGCTAAGCTTGGTTAGTCAATTTTATGGTGGTTCTCGTTAATTTGGAAGTGAATCTATGCAATTATAAAGCAAAGAAATAGAACACTTTACAAAGTAACTTAAAGATCGATTATATGGCAAAGAGTATTCTAACTTATAAATCTCTACAATATAAAGGAAATCTTGGAAGGCATCTCAGTCACCGTCATCCAGGTTATGATCGTGAGGGTGATAACAGCCAGCAGACTACCCAAAATGTAACTCCAATAAAGAAGCCACAACCTCAAGTGAAACCTCCAACTCTAGATTTTGATAATCTCAACTGGTTGCTGCTTAAATGGTTTATTGGAGCCTCTCTTCCCTCTCCTGTCTTTGAGGATGAAATGCTTCAGAATTCGTTCAAGTTTCTCAATCCGTCAGCTAAACTTTGGCCTAAGGAAAAGGTTCATGCTGTCACTATCGAGATCTTTAGAAGCATGCAAGAGGATGTCAAGGAATTACTAGAACATGTGAACTCTAAAGTTTCCATTACTCTAGATTTCTGGACTTCCTGTGAACAACTATTCTACATGTGTATTAAATGTCATTGGATTGATGAGAACTGGTTCCTGCAGAAAGTTCTTCTCGATGTAGTTCATGTTCCTTACCCGTGTACAGGGCAGGAGATATACCATGCTTTAATAAAGACCCTTCAGAGATTTAATATTGACAAAAAGATACTTTCTTGTACCAATGATGGGAGTCCTCATGCAATTCATGCATGTCATGCTTTAAAAGAGGACCTAGATGCTAGGAAATTACCCTTTTATTACATCCCATGTGCTGCTCGGGCCCTTAACCTGATTATAGAAGATGGATTGAGAACTCCGAAGCCGATAATATCCAAGATACGGGAGTTTTCACTCGAATTAAATTCAGCTCCCGAAATTTCTCAGGATTTTAAACAACTTACTGCAATTTATCAGGAGGGTTCATGGAAGTTCCCACTTGATACTTCAGCAAGCTGGAACGGTGACTATACAATGCTAGATATTGTGCGCAAGGTACTATTTATGTTCTTTATCTGAGATTTCAAGTTTTATTTAGCCAAAAACTTGTCTGCTTCAGCTACTCATGGACTGTTAACGTCATGAAAACCCATGTTTTATTCATGCATTACACGTACATTGCTGATTAGTATCCATGTTTTTTGTTGTTTACATTATATCCCTATGCTTGTTCCTCAACAAGTTAGTAAATTTATTAGCTATATATCATTTCACAATATCAAGTATGCTTATTTTGGCTGATACTGTTGATTATCTTCTCACATACACAGATATGCAGACACCACTACCTAATTATTTTTTTAAGCCTTTTCCCCTGATTTCTCTCAATATTGCCTATATTTATCATATATTTTTTATAATTCCATAATTTCCCAACACAAGCTATAATTTTAACGAGCATAGCTATTTTTTTCCCCACTTTACAAATGTCATTTGGGTAATCAAATTGTCTTTGTAATGTAGGCTCCAAATTCCATGGATAGTACAATGAAGAAACATGAAGAAACCTTTGGAACCAGAAACTTGTTGCTGACATCCACAGAGAAATCAGTGGTTAATATTCTGCACTCTTATCTAGAGCCTTTCCACAAAATAACAACCAACTTGTCAACCTGCAAAGTACCCACCGTAGGCCTTGTTCTCTTCTTCATGGACCATGTCTTTGAAATGATCAGTACTTGCAGGGATAGCTCTTGTCATGAATGGTTAAAGAGTGTAGCCGATGACATGGCGAAAAGTACCAGAAGCTTCAGCACCCAAATTTACAGTCTCTTTACTTTCCTGGCATCGGTTCTTGATCCAAGAATCAAGAAGGAACTCATTCCTGAGAACCTGAACACAGAGAAAAACTTGGAAGATGCCAGAAGCCATTTCACAGTAATGTATGCTTCAGTCCAGTTTCCTGCTACAGCCAATGGCTTTGGAGCCCAGGAGGCTGAAGAAACTAATGTGGTCTCTTTCGCTGAAGAGATAGCAAGAAAGAGGAGACGAGGAAATTCGATCACCGCTTCAGATGAGCTCTCACAGTATTTGTCAGAGCCACCATTGGCAATTGCCGCAGATGTATTAGGTTGGTGGAGAGCTAACAGTGCTCGGTATCCGAGGCTCTCTGTTATGGCGCGTGATTACTTGGCAGTTCCGGGAACTGCAATTGAGCCAGATGAGTTGTTTTCGAGCAAAACCGGTGAAGTATGCAAGCAAAAGTTCTGTTTGCCATATAGTAGCATGCAGGCAATGTTGTGCATAAATTCATGGATGAAGAGTGGATTCAAGTTGAAATATAGATCGGCTGAAATAGATTTCGTGAAATTGGTGGAATCCGGTGCTTCAGCGACCAATGAAGTTCGGTCTTGAGGGGAATATTTTGGAGATTTTCTACTAATTGAGTCTTATATTCTGAAATGTGACTTTATTCCTGAAGTGCAACTTTCTGTGATTGACATTGAGGTAGGTGATAAATTGAGGAAATATGTCTCAGACTGTACGTTAGGTTACTGATAATATGAATATGAGTGTGTTGCGGTGTAAACGGGCTCTAAGTTGAGAAGAATGGATTATCCTGTAAATCTTACTCAATGGGTATCTCAAATATCTCTATACAGGTACCAAGTACACTTCCTTTTCCTTTTTAGTTTTCGTATCTCTATACTTGCAAATTTGGTCGTGATCAATAAGTTTAAGCCTCAAAACTGGCTTATAATAATTGTTATCATCTATATATTATTATTGAGCTCAGAAATTGTTCACTCTAAACATCATATGTAGCTTGAACCATATGGTAATCAACACTGGTTACTTTGTTCACTGTTGAAACTGGTTTTTCCACTCTTTGTCCATCATTTGGAGATGTATACATTGGCACTTTAATCGTCAGGATCTTTATGGTGATCAAACTATTTGTCCCTATGTATGATTATAACAAAATCACATGTGCTTATCTTAACAGTCAAACTGTGTGTATCCATGCATGAAGGAATTCTGATTCCTTAAATCAGGGTTCGCGTATCATGTTGTTGATAAACATGCAACGTACATACTCTCGCCCCATGACGGTAAGCAAGACTATTCATAAAAACCCATCTTCTTCATATTTCTTGATGATATTATAGGTTTCCTTTTAAGGCACTATTACTGGCATCAAATTATAGAATGAACTCTTAAGGCTTCTACTTCAATTTTGTAAATTGTGCACCGAAAGCTTTATCTTGTTTGTTTGTAGATATGAACGCAAATTAAATTGATTACCACAGTGAATTATCTTCCCTTGTTAAATTTGTAGTGTTAAAGAGATCATAAAGGGAACTTGCTTTTCTGTTACTACATTAAACTAATCCAATGTAGATCAACTGGAAGCTCCCATACATGCACACAATAACACGAGCCAAAGAACAAATGATTGCCATAAGCAAACGCTTTTTGTTTTGGAAAAATACTCAAAGTTGATCGAAGTATGAAATAAGTACGGTGATTGTGCTCGGGCGATGGGGACCATTGGATCATTTGATCAGATGGTCGAGAGCAAAGGGCGATGTGGGTCCCGGGTGGCCCTTTCCCTATAAGACAAAAGACAACCATTCTTCTTAGAGGACCTCGCCAACATTTATGGAATGTTTTGTGTTGGTCTTAAGTTCGAAGTTGAACTTTCTGGGGAGTTTTATCACTTTGATGAGGATGCGCTTCCGTTTGTTGAGGGGGCTTGCATGCGTTCATGTGATGCTTAATAAATTCTCACGTGCTGGTAGGTGTATGAATTTATGCTAACGAGAAGTTTCCATCATATTTACCTATTCAAATGAAACAAATAAAACTATGCTACGGCCAAATAAGACTATGATAATGACAAATTAAACTATTAAATATAATTAATTCTGCCCTTTGCAAGAAGACAAAAGAGCTAAAAACTTCTAATCTTTATATGTTCACTTCAATATTACATCATAAGAAAGATAGAATAGATCCAATTCCCTTCTCTTTTGTACAGAAAACTAAACTTTTTTTTCCCTTTTCCCCTTCCTTGATATTTTTCTTGAAATTTGAAATTCTTATTGCTTAAAGCTACAACTCCTACCTCTATTAGAACCTAAGTTTGCATCAATGGCCTCCTTCATTTGAGCTATAGAGTAGTGTTGTATGCCCTTGCACATCCAATACATTTTATGTAATAATTTTTGAATATTAATTAAGTTTTATTGGTGCACATATTGTTTGGGTATCTTTTATATTACTGTTAAATTGTCCTTAGAAATTGTTATGTTAGATCATGCATTGTGATGGTCATTTGCTTGGAGATATGATCTAATTCAAAGATTTCTTAAATTTGTGCTTAACCTATAACTAGTAAATGATATCTTTGCTATAACATGTTATATGAATGACACCTACATGTGAGATGTGGTGGTGAGTCTCAGTTAGCGGTAATGAAGATTCCCCGGTTGTATGTCATAAGCGTATATTATGATATGTATAGCACTAGATCACATTTAGATTCACTAGGACGAGTCACCTAAAAGATAGAAATTTTATATTGTCACGTGTTCCCTTTTACTTAATGATATTGTCATTTTCGATTTGATAATTTAGTATGTTTTGATATGATAAGTTTGTTTTTATAACTGCTATATAACTTGAAATGTTGGCTTACTAGATATCATTTAGGAAAATGATGGATATCTAGAGAGGATCCAGTATGCTCGTTTTGATGAGTTAATTTATTATGTATATCCCATGAAGGTATTAAATTCTCATCGATGAGTGATTTTGAAAATTATTTTTCAAATTTTATTTCCTTATAAAAGTAAAATACTTTGATGTTTTAAAATGAATTTTATTTATGTTTATGGGGATCGTAATTTTAGGCATAAGCAAATAAGTGATTTTTCTTGCTCAATAAAGTTGCCTAAAATAAATTGATACTGGAGGGAAAATGAATGCAAGATAATATTATTCATGAATATTCAACCCATATTATGGAAGAGCTTTTATAAATAATTGGTCGGATAGGGATTTTATTATTAAACGATTTAGGCCCAATTGGTCCGATTAATGTCATTAGAAGAGGTTTATATACACTACAATTCTATTTCTATCCTTAACTGTTATGAAAAGATTATTCTATTTTTGATTATTATGAAAAGAGTTTTAAACAATTAAGAATTATTTTGAAATTAAAATTTATAAGGCAAGTTTAATCCTATGTATAGAGTTCATATGTAGCATCTTGAGAAAATAAAAAAAATAGAAAAATAGAAAATTGAGCACCTATTTTTCAGTATTGCTCTTCTTCGGTGACGAATGGATTTCAGTTGGAGGTTTTTTCTCTTGAGAAAACTATTTCAGATTGATCTTAGAACAGATTATTGAAGAAATTTAGAAAGCATTTCAGGTATTCTTCTAAACTTCAATTAATTTTGATTAATCTACATTATATGCAAATTCTGCTGCTTGTATGCCGTGTTTCCAACATGAGAAACCTCTAGTTTCTTCTCACTTTGTGCAGGCTAAAATTCGTCAGTAGCCAAAACCTACATCATAATAAAAGTATCGACCTTTTATTCATTATGAACAGGAGGAAAGTTATCATGAAACTTTATCGTTTCTTGATTTTGTTCATCACCTTCACTTGCAACTGTAAAAGCTTCACATAGCTAATGGGTTTCTCTGGCACACCATATTAGGGCGTTTTTGCGAGATTCTCTCTCCCTTTCCTCCATCCTGGTCCATGGCACTCAGTGCTTGGATATAGGAATATGAAGTTGTAATCTATGCGCTCCTTTGCCTCTTGATTGAGGTTGGATTGCTCAAAGCAAAGCAACGAAGACGTCATGCTGTGTCTTTCTCTCTCGTCTGAATGCTGCTTTGTCTTGGTGACGTGAGAACTCGTGCTTGTTGTTCATGTGTTTCAGACTTTCAGTAGTTCGTGTAGTTAGTTTGTATGTTTTTTTTTTCTTTTGGCCTTCTGTTGAAGGATCTAAGTAAAGTGAGTTCGGTAGGTGACGACAGAAGGATCTAAGTAAACTGAGTTCGGTAGGTGACGACAATGTCCGCTCCTTACCAGCTTTTTCTTTATTTCGATCCTTCTCCCAGTCAATTTGTGGGTTTTTTTTTTGTATCAATCCGTTCTATTTAGTATCTCTGCCTTTATAATATAAATGAACAGGGTACCTCACCCTGTTTTTCAGTTCAAAAAAGCAACGAAGACGTCGAGCTTGAGTAGGTCTAATGGTTAGTATTACCAGATTAAGCCTCATATGGGAGGGGGCTCACAAAGTTAAAGATAGAAGATTGTAGATGAAGTGCCATGATTGATGGAGATTGAAGAAGTGCACAGAGAGGATAAGAGAGAGAAGAACTTAGATAGTAAATGTAGTGTAATGGAGCGCTTGCATGGATGAATTTGAAATAGATCATAAGGGAAAATTTGGAAAAACGACCGTTTTTTAAAAATAATAGGCAAAATCGACCGTTTAACAAAATAATTAGCAAAATCGACCTTTTTTTGCACGGGACTACTAGTCCCGTGCAAAAAAAGGTCGATTTTGCTAAAATCCCCTGTTTTGCACGGGACTACTAGTCCCGTCCAAATTCAATCAATATAATACGCTGCATCCGTGCAAATTCACTCTCTTCTCCATCCGTGCAAATTCACTCTCTTCTCCATCTCTCAGTTCACCCACTCTCTCTCCCTCTTCAAGAAACCCAAGAGCCCCACTACCTCCACCCTCAGACCCAAGCTCAACCACCGGCCCTCCTCCTTCCTCAAGCCCCTACTCCACCTCCCTGAGCTCGCTGTCAAGCTCCCCTTGCCCCTTACAACAATTACTTCATTTCAGCTCCGACACAGAGGGGGAAGATCCCACAAATAATCCGACGAATCATTGATCTCAATAGTACTCCTGAACTCCGTTCATCACGTACAAAGACGCCGAGATTTGCCTCTCGACCTTCATCACGTCCAACTCGCTTGTAATCGTCTCTTGAAAGCAATTGCTCCTACTCAGCTCAAACCCATCGAAGAACGGAACCTCAAACCCCGACTCGAAAGCCCAGGAACTGTCCGAGCCCGATCTAGAGAAATCCAGCTGGTCATGGTCTTCGTTCACGAAACACGACCGATACACTTCTTGGCCGAGGAGGAGAGAGGTGGTCGCTTGCGCTGGGGTCTATAGGAGTTGGAGAGAGATCTTGAAGGAGGTTGTTAAGATTCATGAGTTTGAGGGGAGAATTACGTTCCCAATCTCTTTGAGGGGAGCGGATGGCCACAGAGACTTGGGGAAGGAGGGTGAGAGAGCCATTGGAGGAGGAGGAGGAGGTGACTGTTTTTGGAGGGGACTTGGGGAGGGATTTGGATGGAGGAGGGGCTGTTGATTTGATGATGGAGGAGGGGGGAGGGATTTGGATGAGGGGCGGAGAGGGGGTAGAAGATGGAGGAAGTTGGGGATTTTTTTGCACGGGACTAGTAGTCCCGTGCAAAATAGGGGATTTTAGCAAAATCGACCTTTTTTTGCACGGGACTAGTAGTGCCGTGCAAAAAAAGGTCGATTTTGCTAATTATTTTGTTAAACGGTCGATTTTGCCTATTATTTTTAAAAAACGGTCGTTTTTCCAAATTTTCCCTAGATCATAATTATCTAGATG